CAGACATTTCTTCAAGTAAGACATAAAAATGACCAACAGGTATATAAAAAAATGCTTAACATCATTAATCATCAGGGAAATGCAAACCAAAACCCTATGAAATACCACTTCACAACTGTTAGCATGACTAATATCAAAAAGTGAAAAGATGACAAAGGTTGGTGAGGGTATAAAGAAAAGGGAACTCTGGTACAATGTACAATATTGGTGGGAATGTAGATTGGTACAGCTAATTATAGAAAACCATACGGAGGTTTCTGAAGAAATTAAAAATGAAACTATCACATGGTGCTGATAATACCAAGGTCCAAGGTTTGATCCTTATCCTGGTCAGCTGCCAAAAAAAGAAAACAAAAACAAACAAAAAATAAATACATAATAAAAATAGAATTACCATATGATCCAGCAATCCTCCTTCTGGGCATATACCCAAAGGAAATGAAATAACCACCTTGTAAAGATGTATGCACTCCCACGTTCACTGCATCATTATTCACAATAGCCAAGATAGGAAACCACCTAAGTCTCCATCAATGGATGAATGGATATGAAAATGTGATGTATGTAGGTATGTGTACATGTACACGTACACACATACACACACACACAGAGGAATATTATTTAGACCTCAAAAAAGGATGAGCCTGATGGACATTATGGTAAGTGAAATAAACCAGACAGAAAGAAAAATATTGCATGATCTCACATATATGTGGAATTAAAAAAAAAAATTCAAATATACAGAGATAGAGAATAAAACAGTGGTTACCAGAGACTGGGGGCGGACGGGAAGAAATGGGGAGATGTAGGTCAGAGGATATGAAGCAGCAGATACGCAGGGTGAACAAGTCTAGAGATCCGCAAACAACATGAGAACAGGTAATAAAGCTGTGCTGTATTTGAGATTCAGTCTAAATGAACAGATTATTAGGTGTTCTTGCTACAAAAAAAAAAGGAGGTAACTATATGAGATGATGGATATATTAATTTGCTTCACTATAATAATTTTTTTACTATGTGTATTTGTAACATCATGTAGTATACCTTAAAAATATACAATCAAATTTACTTAAAACAATGTCAGCGATAAATATATCTTCCCTATATTTGGCACTTAGGAATTTCAAGGTATTTTTAATGTGTCATAATTACTTTATTTAGGAAGTTTTAAAAGATTATCACATTTTAGGATTCTAAGACCCACAGTTTTTCATATTTTAATATCTGTGGTCTTTGTGTTCAAACATAATTACAATGTGCAGTTACGATTTGTATTGTTTTTCTTAGTGGAATATAAAAATTGGTGTGTCTTACATTCAAAAGCGTCTCAGATTAGATGAAATACGGTATTTCCTATCCATTCCCCCCTTATGAGTTCTCTTACCTTAGAGCTGACTGTATGCTCTCTAAATAAATGTGACTACTCTAACTTGATGTCCCTTCATTGTGAGGTTCCACCTACCTTTTTGCTTCTTTTAATAAACCTCAGTCCTTCGCATACCTTATCCAAATATCTTTTCATGGCTTGTTTTCTCTTAACCTATTTTCACTTGCATTTAAAAAAATTTAACTTTTTAACAGACTTTCTAATTTCTAGTGTGATGATCTAACACAAAAGAAAATGTGCTAATGCTATTTCCTTGGGATAAAACATTGAACTGTGTACATCTGCAACTAACTCTGAAAAGTTAGTACTTCCTAGAAGCCGCTGGCGTGCATGTAGCTGATAATCGATAAGACTGTGTTGAATATTTTTAAAATAATACAGTAACACTGCCCTCTCATCAGGTGGTGCCAGAAATAATGCCTCTCCCCAACCTCTTTCTTCTTGGTAAGGTCTAACACCTTCCTTTTCCCCTTTCATAGCTGCCCAAGTGAAATCATTTTTCCTAATAGACTGATAGACTCATTTCTTTTAACTCTCACTTCAAGAGCTACTTCCCCAGGTATGAAGGCTTTTTTTCAAAAAAATAAACAAATGAGACAGGAATCTCAGAGTTCCCCAAGAGCACTCCTCTGGAGAGGCAGAGAAGTGACTGAGGATTGCTGCATGGGCTCTGACCTGTGGCGGGCGCCCCATCTTCTCTCCTTTGTCCTCCAACCACTGAGTGCTACCTTCTTGTACTCATTCATTCTGCTTGGCTATAAAAAAGTGATCCCACAACACCAGAGAGATTCTACTAGAAGAAAGCCTCAGGTCCTTCCGTGGAAATGTACTGGCCTCTAGGACAATAGGGACCTACTGGGACCACTGAGAAGCATGCACAGTGCTTAGGAGAATATATCCCAAGTTATATAGGAGAGTTACTGCCTGACAAAATACTCTTGGTATATGCAATACCAGCATGCTACTTACTGCACTTTTCTTCAAATGGGTGTCTAAAAATAACAATTTTCTCCTCCCCAAACACACAGCTAATAGGGTGAAGAGTGGATTCTTAGGTGATTACCCAGGCTGGTTTGTCGTTTAGTCAAAGATGGGGGTTGAGAGTTGAGGACAAGAGGGCAGTGATATCTCTCTTTGATCAAGTTGTCATCTCCAAGTGACGCAGTATTAAGGTGTCTCTAGGGAATGAGCACATGTGATAAATAATCACAAAGAAGCTAATATTTCCTTCATTTTACACTATTTCTTTTCTAGTAATAATTGATAAACTGGCTTTTCATCCATATTGTTGGGTTTGCTATGTATTATTTGAGGCAATCACATTTCTTCAGGTGAAATGGCTGTTGGTTCAAGTTCATGGAGGGAATCGTCAACAGGGAGGCAATGTTGAAAGTAACAGTAGTGGCCATAAGCCCAATTTTAATCCATGTCATGCAATGTCAGACCATCATGAGGGCTCAAGAAACTGCAGCATTTCTGTCTTTCTGGGAAGTATAGCAAGACAATGACTAGTGGCAGGCCAACAATGAGTGACCCCTGACACAGGCACCTGATCTGGAACAGGTTCAGGAAATGGGAGGTGAACTGCACCCCAAATTTGCTTAGGACACGTGACATACAGCTTGCCAAATAAAAGGAACTACACAAAATACTCTGGATATCTGTGTCACCTGTCCTTGCACTCTGATGAGATCAGAAGCTGGGCTCCTTTGGTTGTGGTTCCAAAAGGCTGGTGTAAGTCTCCACAGTTGAGTGATCTCTAGGACACTATTTTCTCCCCCCAGTGAAAAAGAAGTAGGAGTAAGAACAGAAAATACCACCCACTCCCCTTTTGAAGTAAACCCATAGGGAACTGACCACGATTTACAGAGATGTGATAGTTGTAAAATCCCACAGTATGTCGGCTGCAACCATATCTCTCTAACCCGGGGAAACCACAGTAGCACTCTGGTTCCACTACATTCTTCCGGGTTCTACTCAGTGACTCTCCTGCAGTCAGTACCTGCCTGGTTTGGGAAAACACCATGACTCTGCTTCTAACCCCAGGGCTCAAGTGCAAAAATACAATGGATTTATGTCACCTTTTGCTTCTCCTCCATAAGACAAATGCACTTAATCTAATTCCAAAATGTTAAACCAAACCTCAGCTCTATTTGGGGAATTCTCTGAAATGAAAGAATGGGGAAAAGATTAATTTCTTTTTTTTTTTTTTTTTTTGTCTTTTGTCTTTTTCCGTGTCCGGCAACGGATCGCAACCCTCAGTGTTGCCCCCGTACCGGACCGGGGACCGGCAACGGGATTGCAACCCTGGGTGTTGCTCCCGTGCCTCACTCAGCCAGTGAGCGGGAACCGGTCTGTATGTGGGATCCGAACCCTCGGGCGGGAGCGCCGCCGCGCTTCCCAAGCGGCGCACTATCCAGTGCGCCACCGGGCCGGCCCTAAGATTAATTTCTGATTTGGCAATTCTTAACACTTGTTTTTGCCTGCTATGTTACTAATAAACAAGTGGGTAACTTTAACGTTTCCTTCTTTCTAGATCAGGTGCCTAACTGGACAGTGCAAAGATACTGAGGAAAAAAAACATAACTTCTATTTATATATCTGTATCAGCCTTAAAGTTTTTAAATTTATATGTATGTTTTATTTTGATATATTAGTATAGTAGTATATGTATGTAATTAACCAATAAATGTGTAGAGTGATAGGTATATGTTCAAAAATTTTTTATCAATGGGTTGCATGATTAAAAAAGTCTGAAGATACTGCTCTAATGATCTCAGTGTCTTTTGTAAGCCACAGGCATGCAGAAATAAATTAAAAAATAACAGTGTAATCAATACTTTTCTAAATAGTGAAAATGACTTAGCAAACCAGACAAGGTGTTGCTATAAAGATGACTTTACTATTCTGAAAATCGAGTGTCTCTGAGACACAGGAAATGCCTCATGTTTAGTCAAGGGCACAAATAGTTTGGGGCCAGCTTATTTACTGTTCCGTCTTTGACCTACTAGTTTTAGTTTACAGTTTCTTATTAACTTTAAGGGGAAGTTTGCATGCTAAAAAGAGACTACCTGTTGAAACTTAACAAGAAAGATAGGGGAAATTAGTGGAACAGAAGAGACCATTTCATTTGTACATTACTACTATTCGAGTCCTGCTTCTGAAAGGATCATTTCATTTTAATTTATATTGTTGATTAATAAACTGCACGTATCAAAGCCTCTAAAAACACAAAACACATTTTAAAGGAAAGGGACTGCTTTTTGAAGAAAATGACGCATCCAACACTTGACTTACTTCAATGTCAATGCATCACATCTGGGAATTACTTTTGTATCGATAGAGACCTCTTTTAACAGGACTATGGTCTTCATACCTCTACCCAAGAACACTGTAGCTAGACATGAACAAGACAGGCTAGTGGTTCATCCTGAAAATTCTTTTTGGCACTGGGCAGGCTAAGGACCCCTTATGCATGCCTGTTTTCCAACTTTTCTATATTACTGGGCAAAAGGAAAAATGCACACATCAATATACACATATACACAGACACAGAGACAGACAACTGAAAGGAACGAGTTGCAGTTGTCTTGCAAGTAACACAGCTGGATACCTGGGATGCTCTCTAATTTCCTTCTCAGCTCTTCATTTTCTTGTTGCAGGGAAATAACCTCCTGCTCCAGCTCTTGGCACCGAGGACAGTAGCCTTCCTCCTCCTCCTCCTCTTCCTCCTCTGGTAGTGTAGAAGAGGATGGGTGACCATGGGATTCGGATGTTGCTGGGGAGGTCCAGCCACCTAGTGTATGCACGGGGGAAGTTGATAGAGGATCCACGTCGGCCAGGTGGCCATACTCACTGACCGACGAGGTGTTTGGAGTCGGAAAGCTCCCCGAGAGCAGGTAATTTTGTAGGGAATCAGTGAAAACCCTCAAAAAGGCAGAAGTTTGTTGTTTCCTTTGCATATATTGCATCTCTATGTCTACACTGTCTGAGGTCTGACTGTGGACCCCTTTGCCAATGTGACACTGCTCTTGTCTTTCATTATAATTCGAACCTTCCTGCTTTACGCAAGAAATCATGGATTGAGAATGGTTGGAGTTTAGAAGTTTTCCTCCACAATTCAAGAGGCTAAGAACGCGACTGCACTGCTGGGCAAAGGCATCCAAGATCATACGACTCTCTGAAACAAATAAAAAGACACATCAGTGATTCCAAAGCTAAAGGCAAGGGATAAGTAAAGTCCTTAATTTTGAGTTTAACCTTCAAATATGTTAAAAATATGCATTTCTACTCTGTTGTAAACCAAGATGACACGGTGAATCCACTATTAATAGGACACATGGCTTCCTGTTGTTTTGCTGTTCTGCGACTAGTGGGGTGTTTGATGGCTCACCCCCAGTCCCTTACTCTAGGAAATGGCTGCACTGCAACTTTGGGCACCAGAGAGTTCCCTCTCTGTGGCTTTAACCATCACACCTTTGACTTCATTAATATCCTGACTCTGATGAATCCAGCCAGCCACTGCAGACTCGTTCCTCATTGATAGGAGGGCTTAAAGCAATCATTACTTCTATTTCTGGAGTGCCCTCATGCCCTTGCTATTAATCAGCTGATACAATCCCTGCCGAGAGTACGTAGCTCCCAGATGCAAACTGGAGAAGAAAGATAAGTCCTTCTGAAGAGCTCACTAGAAATCTAAAGTAAAACAAAGAGTTTTACCTTTTATAAAGCAAAGGATGAGCACAAAACAAAACTGTACGTGTGATCCAACATCTGTGCTCGCTATTTCTTCCTTTAATTTATCCGCTAACTTGGATTGCCTGTCAAGGCCAATGTTTAGGGGGACCTATGTCAGTATCACTGGAAAATCAACAGTGCCTCTTCTTAGAGCCTTTTGCATTAGACTGTCTAAATCTCCTAAAATGGCACATGGCATGTGTGCAGTTAGCCTACATACATGAATTCTAAAGCATATTAATTATCAAGCAGTGACAAGCAAAAAGCAAACAAGAAAGCAATCAACTCACAGCAAAAACAAAGAAAAAAAACACCCCAGATGGTGAAAATATGACATAACATTGTGAGTCTAAGGGTTGTGAGCATGCACCCTAAGTGTAAATGTCATGAGGTAGATCCCTGTCTTTCCTGTTACCACCTAGAACGGGCCATTACACATACAGAGAGGAATACTTCTCAGGCTTACATAGTGGTATGAGGAATCCTCGTATTTCCTCCCTCTCTTACCCAGAATGATGGCAACAAATGAAATATGGGACATTTTAGATGCCAATAACTATTGTTTATAAGAGAAATATAACTACTTGCTCTCTCTCTCTGAAAACACTGATTAGTTGCATTTTTTCCCCCACTGGGGAGGAAAAAACCTCTTAAAATAAAAAATGGTGAGATACTCAAGGGCTTCTATGGGGACAATAAGCCAGAATAGCTGCAGTAAGAAATCCTCTAGAAAATCCAGGATGTATGATCAATGACACCACACTTCTGGAAACTTCCATGCAGTGCTTAATGCTGCCTATGTTCTCTTTTCTTAGTATTCCTGAAGTAACTACACTATTGTGGGGAGAGGATCCAAGTGTCCTTTTTCAACTATTTAATAAGAATACATAAGAAAGCCCACAGCCTGGCACACAGGAAGCATCTCTCACATCTCCCAAATCTATACAGTGCTACCATTCCAGAATTCCACTGAAAAATTACAAGTCAGAACACAGAGGCCAGATCTCTTCTGTTCATGAGAGGAGCATAAACTGTACTGGGATGTGAGGGCCAGCACAGGGCCTCAAAAAATACTTAGAGAATACACAGCAGGGGTTCTTGTAAATACACAGAGCATCTTGGTTTACAGCATTTTCAGATTAACTTTGGCTGGGATGGTGGTGGCATGACCACCCTAGGCAGACTGAGAGTCCACAGGACTATTTTCTTCTTGGGCCAGCACATCCTTACTCTTAGGAGCAGTACCACCTTTAGACCCAGGCAAGAGGACCCCTGCCCCAACCCTCCTCCTCCAGCTGATACTCTCCCATGGTAAGGTACCCAAGATCCAGGAATTCCCTACTTGAACTGCTCTGAGGGCCTGTGCTGGTCTTTTCCCTGAGCCATTCCCCCAAAGACAGGCCATGGTGCCAGCACTTGGAAGTTTGGACTGGGGTATCCATACATGTGTATGTGCTGTGGATTGAATGTGTCCCCCCCAAAGTCCATGTATTAGAAACTTAACCCCCACTGTGTCAGTGTTAGGAGGGTGGGAAATCCTACTATAATTGAACGGTAGGGCCTTGAAGAGGTGATTAGATTGTGAGGACCATGCCCTAGTAAATGGATTAATAAGTTGATGAGTCAATGGTGGTCATGGTCATGGTTCTAAGGGCTTTAAAAGCAGAAGGAGTGCTTCTGTCATTTTGCAATGCAAAACCCTGTGTGGCTGTAAAGCCACCATCAAAGAAGGCCCTCACCACATGTGTTCCCAGACTTCAGACTTCCCAGCCTCTGAAAGTGTAAGCAATAAAGTTTATTGTCTCACAAATTACCCAGTTCCAGATGTTTTGTTATAAGCAACAGAAACAGACTAATGCACTTCTAGTGAAACATAGAGCTGGGAGTGATAAGAGAAGGCTATGGGTTGGCCAAAAATTCCAAAGTCAAACCTGGCCATTACAAAGGTGTATTTGTCAAGGTAGGTGGATAGAACATACTTTATTTAACAGTTTGTTAGGTTGATTTATACTTTTTCATTATTTGATCTATGGTATGTGGGCCTGCATTTGTACTCTTGTCCTGAGTCCCACAAATATTTGGGTGCCACTTCTTTATAATGACCCAAACCAAATAAACGAGAAAATAAACAGCTGAACCATACAGGTGCAGAGGTTGAAAGTGTCGTGCTCTCATTTTTTTACTTCCTGATTTCTTTCTTATTAGTAAAATCAAAGGATGATATTGATTGGGAATTTTCAATTCAAGCCCAACGGCAGTTTTCATTCATTTTAATCCTATAATCCCATTCTAGACCTGCAGTTGTATTTACTGTTTGCATTTTAATCAGCATAGTCCCAATTGATTTACAGCCTATACTCCTTTAACATAACCTTGATGAAAGGGACAAAATATGAAAGGAAAGGCTAAAATAGATTGCTTAGAAAGAACCACTCAAATATATTTGTTCAGTGTCCTACAAAACACTCAGTAGTTTTAATCATATTGATAAATCACATTAGGGCATAGATTTTAAGGGAAAGAAATCTGACTTAGGGACAAGTGTGATTTGTTTTCTTAATTGAAGGATAAACTCATAACATGCTGAGAAAAAATCATTATGTAATATACTACATTATGAAGATAATCTATTAAAGTGCACTCAGAATATGAAAGAATAACTACAATCACAAAATAGTTCTTGCCTGCAGTTTTGTAAATGCTTCATTCTGAATTTGTTCTCAGAATTGATATATACAAAAATAGCAATTATAACCCTTAAAGTTGAATTTTTCCTCTTTTCAATGCCTTGAAATATTTGAATAGTATTTTACATTGATACATGGAAAAGTGTGATGAAAAATATTACTATTACACTTGGTGGAAAACTGCAAATCTTTCCACTTAATACATATTGCAGCCAGCAATACTTCAGTTTTCTAGACAGAATATAATTAGAAATGCAAGTACTGTGCAATGCCCATTATCGCTAAGAAATGCAGAAAAATTCTGTTTTCATATGAACACAATTGAATGGCTACTGATCCATGATTCTTAATTGAGCAAAGTGTGAACATGTATTTTGATTTTTTTAACTGTTTTTTTTTTTTTTCTTTAATCATGGAATACTACATTCACGTAATGGCAGGGAAGTACAAAGTCAACAGTTTGCAAAGGGGCTTTAAAACTCTACTTTTTCCCTAACTCTCCAAATTAAACACCATAAAATGTTAATAAGTCACAATCACAAAGCATTCTAAAATGACCACTTCTCTGTAATTTATTTTGCTTTATTGTGTAGCCTGTTGGGAGCATGCTGCCACTTGTGCCTAGCCTAATTCCAAAATCTAAACCCATGATTATTTTTTTAATTAAAAAAATTCATTTCTTGAAATTCTTCTAAATTTAAGTGGTTTAATTCATCCTAAATCTGATAAGTGAATAGGAAGAGGGATGGGAAGTAGGCAATCAAACATAGTCTCCCTACTTTAACGTCTCTTCTTTGTAAGTAAAGCCTTAAATGGAATTTGCCCATCACAGCAGATTCCCAAGAGAATTCCATTTCTATGAAGGAGATCACAGTAGTCAAGATTAGTGGTAACCTTTTGATTTTAGCCCAGCGAAGGGTGAAATGTATTAATATTAAAAATGCAGAAGGAGGAATTTTTTTAGTGACCTACTATCATATCCACACATTGTGTCTACCAAAAGGATTTCCAACTAGTTCGAAATAGACAATTTCCTTAAGACATTAATTTAACTTCTTTTTAAGAAGACTTCATGGCATAGAAAATAGAAGTCAGAAAATGAAAGCATCTTTGGATACATCACCCTTGCCTTAAATCAATGAACTATGTCTTTTAAAAACAATGCTATCCAATTTTTTTTCATAATGGCAAACATCAACACAGCAAAACAGGATGCAATTTTTCTAAATAAATAAATCAATGATGTGTCAAAAATTAACAGATGAGTTAATATACTTGGTGCTATCAAAACCAGATGGTGCTTCCTCATATTCATCCTGCTCAGTCAATCCCTGAATATTTTCTGGACCATCGGTATATAAAATAGGATGCTGCTATTTGTGATGGCAAACAAAAGCAATCATGCCTGCCAAGCACATACTATAACAGGCAGCATTTCAGCTCTGCTAGACAGAAAGTAATTAGAATGCTTTTAATGTCCAAAAGAATGATGCTGATAGGCTGCCGCAGATGTGTAGATTTATGAATATTTATATGGTGGTTTATAGCTGACACTTTTATCAGTTGAAGAAGATAAAATATCTGCCTGACTCAAAAGCTTGACAGTCAGGTTAATAAAATCTCATTAAAGAGAATGACCTATGCAATTATATAGGATTTATTGTAATTCATTTTTGATTGTACTCTGCTTAAAGATGCAATTTCCCATTTCCTGATGCCAAATTTAGGCTGCATATCAAGATGTACGTGGGTTTTAACTCTAAGCCTCCCACAGAGGAAAAATATGCTTTTAAAACCATGGTGTATTACCCCGTTTAAGGAAAATTATACTCTTCATGAGATTTTTGAAAAAAATCTATTTTTAATCACATATTCCTCTTCTCAGTGGTTTATGGCCCTTAATGGCAAATAAGACCTACTTCAACCCTTTCATCTTTTCACTGCATTTACTCTTCTATCCTTGACTCATTTCACCAAACTGAAATGTTTTGACTATTTTCCGTTTACTAGGTGGCCTGAGTTACTGCAATTATGCTTCTGTGAGGGTGCAACAGGCAAAGCACCCCTTACCCCACCCCCAGAATGCTTAACTGGCCAGAGGTCTGCGCACACATGCTCATTGGTTCAAAGTGGAACCACTAGTTCCTCAAAGAGCCAATCAGCTCTTCAGGTAGCTGTCCCTCTGATGGTCACTCACATCACTATCTCTGTTAAGAGATGGCGTTGTCCGTCAATAGTTAATTTTATGGCCACAATCCATGATGTCTAATTCTATGGCTTTTTCCCCCTGCCCCCAGACCATTTTCCTCACTACACAGAAGAAACCCATCTTTCCAATAAATACTAGGCATCAGGCCCTCAAGCTTACCCCTCTTCATGACCTCTCTGAAAAAAGGCAGCCTTGAGAATAAAAGGAAATACAGGGAAGTTCGTAGGGCATCAAAAAAGCCCCTTTTCATTCCTTTAGATTCAGTGATGTTATGATTTCCACTTTGGGACACCAGAGACACAATAAATTAAATAGGACATTAGAAGAAACACCGAAAGAGAACATTTAGAACAAGGTGAGAAGGGCAAAAAAGCCCTCCACATGAATGAAAGCAACAAACTGCCAGAGTAGGAATCATGGAAGGATAGCAAGTGATTGGTGCAGAAAAAAAGAACTAACACAGGAAATAGATCAGGGAAAAGCAAGGTTAAAACTATGGGTACAAATGGCCATGAGAGGAGGCAGATTTACAGGGTATGAAGGAAAGTGAGAGATTGACAAGGCAGTCAGCAAAGACTGAAAGGAGAAAACGAGCAAGAGAAGATCCAAGACTGAACTGGGCAGATAGAGAGGAGGAAAAACCTCCAACGAACATGGTGGAACTGAGATTATGCAAAGGAGTAAGCAAAATACGGAAAATGGGGAAATAAAAAACTGAGCTGTGTGATAAACACGGGCATGAACAAGCAGTAGTAAAAGAGAAAATAAGATCTCAAACCCAGACAGAAAAAATACGAACCTCAGCAGGAAGGAAAAACAGGAAAAATGGGAGGAAAATGGAAATGGGTGAGTAGCCTAACAATGAGCATAAAAACACCAAGGAATATTGGGCCGAGAGCAACTGAAAAGAAACAAACAAAAAAACCAAAAACACACACCCCGCAAACAATAAGGAAGCCCACATAACCCCACTCAGAACCGTCAAACATTTCCAAATCAGTGAGGGATGTGAAAGAACAAGTAATCTGTAATTAGATTTTCTTTCTCAAAACCAATCCTTCATGTGTCAAAATATTGACAAACAACAGAACATTAGCATAGGCATCTATAACTCATCGAGAGACAATGCTCTCCTGTTTTCATTACGAAAAAAAGTCTTAGATTCACTGGTACACAGAATTTGGGGGACTCCAAAGTGCGACATAAGGCCCGAGCAGGAACTTTTAGTTCTCGGGAGCTGATGATAACCGTGGCTGCGCGCCCCCAGCGAGCGGAGAGCGCCCTTGGGCGCCGGCCCCAGGCTGTGGCCTCTCCACCAGCCCACCTCCCTCCCCGTGTGAGCTGGCCGTCCCCGGGGGCCGCCGGCCCACTGCGGAAAGGAGGAGTCTCGGACCCTGGGGTGGGCGCACCCACGCGCCACTTCTGCGGGACTCGGGCCGAGATGCTGGGGAAGGGACAGTCGGTGTTCCATGGACAGGAGGGAGGGGGACGACGATGTAGGCGGAGGGATCGAAATGTCCCGGGCTCTCGGGGCTGGGGGAAGGGCGAGACGTCCCCTCCCCCCCACCAAGTCCACCGCGTGGCTGGTACGGAGGGGCCCGGTGTCTAACACCCAAGGCGGACTATGGGGTGGGTGGAGAAAGAGGGGCAGTGAGAGCGACAGGGACAGCGCGCGCACGACGAACACACGCGCACATAAGAGGAAGAGAAACACCGAGCCCGGGAGGCAGCCGGAGCGGACCGCGACAGCGGGAGAGCGCATCAAAGAGGTGGAGAAAAAGAGCCCCAGAGGCAAAGAAGTGGGGACAAGGAGCAGGAAAAGCAAATGGAGGACGGAGGGAAAGGGAAGAAGTGGACGGAAAAAGTGAAGCAGCGGAGGGTGAAGGGAGGGCGTCCGCGCGGAGCCGTCTGGGCAGCTCCAGCTTCTCCCGAGCGGCCTCCGCGGTCGCTCCTGGGCGTCCGGTTCCCGTCCGAGCAATGCGGGCCGCCGCGCCTGCCGGGCTCGGGATACGAGCCGTGGCGCCACCTGTTAGGCGCGCGCGCCGTCGTAAGCCCGGGACGCCGCGGCGCCGGGACTCCTCCAGAAGTTGCGGGCCGCGCGTGGGGCGGACGCAGAGGCCTCCGGCGTGCGCTCTGACCCCAGGCCCTACTCTCCTCCGCCGGGACTCCGCGCGGGAGGGTGTCGGCGGTCCCCGGCCTCTCCCTCCCGGTCCCCTCCCCTCCCGCCCAGGAAAGTTGCGCCCAAGAGTTGGTACCTGCGCTGAGCTCCAGGCTGGG